TTTAATGACCTTCCAGGGTCCCTTCCAGTTCTATGAGATAGAGAAGGGAAGAGCTGTCTTGGAGATATACCTGAGTTCTTGTCTTCATCTGGGCCATTAATTCAACCAACTGACCTAACACATACACCAACCTGGCCTTCATTAGTGTTTTTACAATATGGACCTTTAATTTTATTTTTTAAAACCAAAAAGAAACCCATGCTTTCGTAGAATGTTCTCCCACCAGCCACAAGAGAAGAGGCCATTGTAGGAAAAGAATGGAAGAGGTTGTGTAAGTATAGCGTATAGGGGGAGAGTGTGGATCTTTGTCCCCCTTTAGCAGTTAGCCCCTTTAAAGAGGTTTCAGTGTAGCATCTTGAGCCGCTGTGGCTTGAGCTAATACTTTGAACCCTGAAAGCACAGGGATGTTACAAGAGTCTTTACCTATATCAAGCCCTGATGTAACTTCTGTCAAGTGAGGTTGTTATAGGAGCATTACTTTGAATTGACCTCCACACCATCCTGTGAGGAAGTGAGTCTGATGGCATTACAACAGGGATAAAATTGGCCCCTCCTCTCCTACTTTGTCCAATATTCTTTGTAAATTATTTTTGTTAACTCTTGGCTCTTGTCCTTTCAAGAGTTGCTGGGCATAGATTCAGCTGCTGGTTTCAATAATTCAGTGCACTCAGGGCTACTTTTAGCGCTGTCTCTTTCCAATCTAAACTGGGATACTTTGCAATGGACCTAGGTGACCTATTCACTCACAACATTTAAAAGCAGCAATGGGGGCCCCCGCCTGGACAGTAGAAAGCCAGTTGTGGTTTGCTTTTCAGTGAGGGCCTAGCTACCAGGTTCAACATTGCTTCAGCAGCAACGAAGCTATGTAGCATCTTACATGCATTGGGAATTTAGCATATGCCCAAGCTAGCTGTGCAACTGAGAAGATACAAGATCGTAGTCTCACTTCAAGATCAAAAACTTGAATTGAGAGCATTTTGCCACCTCTCCGTTACCTTTTCTATGTGAACTGGCAGTTTCAAAGAGACCTTATCCCCTGGAAAATATTAACAAGCTTGAACAGACAAGGGAAAGTCAACCCGTAGGCAAGAGCAAAATTAATAAACCCCATACCCACAAAGGTTTTAATTCCTACTCCTACAATAGTCCAGGGTTTGCAAAACCCACAGAAGTCAATGGGAGCCTTTCCACTGAGCTTAGTGGTCTTTGGCTCAAAGGCTCAATACCTACTATTCACATTAGTTATCCTGTAAGTCGGCTGGTAACATCCTTGCATTATGTAGAGGCATTTGAAAGCAGGCATGGCCTCGCCAAAAGGTACAAACCACCAAGTTGAACGTGTCTTCTACCTACCAGCTGTCCAAAATGAGCTATGGAAAACGGTGAGGTTGCTTATATAGGCCTTCAGCTCCCAGAAGATATTGCAGAGAAAGGAAGTACTCAAAGAGCTGTCAGGCTACACATCTCTAAGATTTAAGCAAACTTGGTACTGTGTTTATATATAAGCATGATGAACAATTGTTCACTTCTGCTGCACCAGAGCTGTCCTAAGGAAAGATTGATAATACACATTGTTTTCCTTCAGAATGACATAACATTGTACCATGGAAAACGTTAACACACACAATTACGTTTTCTTCATGAAGCACCAAAGGAAAGGAAAGGAAAGGAAAAGACTCCAGTCATTTTAAGTTAAACAGAGTGTGGATAAAAGGTAGACCGAAAAGAATGTCAACTCAAACCAGTGGGGATATTGTATTACAGGAGTTTAGAGACTATGAAATAAAGATATTCAAAAGACTAGGACATTGTCAGTCTAAATTGTATAGGTCCAGTTAAATAGTAAATAATTTTTATAGATTCAAATGCTTTTAAATTGTTTATGGGAACATGCAAACTACTGGTTATCAGTTCTGAACTGAGATTAAATATAGGGTTGTACAAAGAATCTCACATGTAAGGTCCCAGTTAAGAAAGGTATGTAAGTGTAGCCATGAGAATTGTCCCATTTAAGGCAGTGGGACTACTTGGATGTTTAAAGTCATGCATGTTCTTAAATACCTTCCTGAATCTGGGAGTAATTTAATGTACTGTTTGATGCAATGCTTCTCTTGATCAATTGATTGTCACTATTAAAGGCATTTGTAGGTAATGGGATCTGTTCTCCTCCCTGTTCAATATAACTCCCATTAACATTCCCTAGGAGTTATGCAATGCATTGAGGGGTGAAAAGAGCCCATAATCAATAAACCTGCTGATCTGGGCTAGGTAATAGGTTTGTTTGGCTTCAGTGAAATACTGTACTGATATTGCACTAGTACGTTCTAGCACCCTGTAACCCTAGCCATTGAAATGTTTATACTAACATTATGAAACAATCTGACATTTCTGTTCGTTTTAGGCATTAGAATTTGGCACGTCTGCCATAGCACCGCTTTTTTCTTTTTATGACATGGGCATTACGATGGTGGTGGTAACATCTCTATAAGAGAAAAAAATGTCGTTTGTGCCATATTTCCATTTTAATGTCGCTTACTAATAGTCTCTCTCTTTCTTTTCTCAGCGATCAGCTCCTGAATTCTTTGGTTCTTTGTCCTTTCGTAAGTAAGCCTCCTCCGTGGGATGAGGTTGTGCTGCGGTACTTCATTGTCCAGCCCATCTATTTTATATGGCACGTCTACCGCATTAATTTCTGGGTGGTCCTCAGTTGCATTGGAATGGGTGGCGTTTGATTTGGAAACAAGAGGAGGACCAGCAGTAGCCTGCATGACAACCACCCCAGTAGGAGGAGTAAGGGTAGACAGGAGATGCTCCTCAATGTCGTTCTTATTTAGGTTGGAATCAGTTACATTATCATCCTCTGTTATGTTGTTATACATGTTACAGGACTTGCAACACAGCTTATTGTAACCAGGCATTGAACAGTAACGAGAGAGAACTTCCATGCGACAAAACATGGACTTGTCTCCTTGGCAACGTTCCCCTGAAAGAAAAAAAGAGGAAAGGTAAATAAACAGCATGTGGGGGAAGTCTTATCCTAGAAGAGCATTTAAAGTCGTATCCTATAAAATCAGCAACAGACACGCTCCGGCTTTGGCAATGGAGGCAGGGTTTGAAATACAAACTGCGCTGGGAATTTGACAAATGGACCCTTTTAATTATAGCAGGTCTAACTGAGACCCTAAATCCTGACACCATCAAACTCTAGGGTGCTCAAAGCCAGATCTGAATTTTGCATGTTGGCCCCATCTCTATAATAAATCCAAGCACCTCACGTCTTTCCCTTATGCTAACACTAAGCTGTGGTGGAACATATACTTCACGACAATGCAGTGAACTCAACAGCCGTACTAATGCTATGTTGTTACTCCAGAATTCCACCTTCAGCCTGTCACAAATTATACTCAGGAGCTCTTTATTCCTTCACTCCTTTTATATGCTGTTATGCAGAGTAACAGTGACTTAACTAAAAACAAGGAGGAATTGAAGTGTAAAAGGCCACTAATCTCAGCCCTGGGCTTACTTATATGTGCATATATCTGAGCTTCAGAAAGCCGTAGTCTTTTCTGAGGCTGTGTATAGCTTCTAATTTAAAATAATTGATATGGAAGTCATTTCTTGCTCAGCTGTCTAGCTTTCAGTCTGAAAGTGGTGGCATCTCCTAAATGGTTATCTTGCCTGCGAGAACTGTGAAGACTTTAGAGCAAACCTTTTCTGCCTTTAAGGAGGAACTTGGAATCTGGTGAGCTTTTTACACAAGCGAGGTAGAACTGTGCTAATTGACATTAGTGACTGGGAGACTCACTGCAAACCCCTGACTTCTGTAAATCAGGGAATGAAGACACCTAATAAAGATTAAACCAGGATCATTAACAGATGTTAAGGCCTGAAGGGATTATTTAGATCATCTAGTCTGAATGAGTCAATGAATGCACTGGGCCAGATCCTGGGGCCAGTGAATTGCATGTGGCAAAGTTTAGGATTAGGGGGGTTAGCCATATTCTTATTTTAGAGCATTTATCCAAGTCTAGTCAGAAACTACTAAAATCCTTGTCTCCCCACCCCTGGGCAGACTGGCTGGGGTGCAATCTTTAACCAGTAATTCTTGGCCAGGGGAAGGCTAGGGCTTTCCACCTGTCTCTCTTTTACCCACAGAGGAGTCACTGCACGCTGTCTGTCCCCCTGCATGGACAGTGTGACTGTTGCCTTGCCTAGAACCAGGAGGTACTGCAGCTAACAGAGTGACATTAATTCCTGCCACCCAAATAAACCCAGACTGGGGGAAAGTGCTGAGGAAGAGGGTAGGTTAGAACGACACTTTGAATCATTAGTGACAAGTTATTTTCTCAGCATTGTAGCTACTGACTGTCACTTTATAAGCCCCGGGGCCGTCGTCTGCAGTAACCCAGGAGCCAGCTGTAGGTGAGAGTTCCTGCATTATCATGGGAACACAATCATACCTATTGACTAGTAATGATAACAGAAGTTGTTGTGAACTCTTATAGGACAAGATATATAATTTCAAATATTTTTCTTAATTCACAGTATACCTGATTGCAGAATATACATAAAGCCACATATGTTTAGCATTACTGATACTATACTTTGCCACCCTTTTATTTAAGCTCTCAGCAACATTGCAGCAAATTACAGCACCACAGCAGATTCAGAAATATGTGAATTTAGAAAGCATAGGTGTCAGCTCTTCATTCATGCTCAGTTAAAAATATAGGGAGTTATAGTGTTTAATTGGCAAACATATCAGTCTAACATATGCTAATAACTATTGCTCTTGTTTTGAAAAGCTAGGGTTGATTGACAAGACTGAAACTACTTGTCTTTAAATGAACCCATTTATCCATTGATTATTGCATTTTCTGTAGAAAAACAAAAATATGGTTCTTATTTTAATTTGTCAATTTATTTTCGGATGATAAACTCAGACAACAATCAGAAGGAACTCCTTCCTGGAAATCTGAGAACAGTAATTGAGTTTTGGACAAATTTTCAAAGCGGCTTCAAGCCTGCAGATACAATTTAGTGTGTGCAAGTTTTTGCATGCAAAACTTCTGCATGAAGAAAGTTTGATAGATCATGTTGAGGCTCCCTTGAACAGATTTCCCTATGTGGCTTTAGTACAAGCTTTTCCAAATTTACAGTACCTGTTGAATTTTCTGCAAGCTAACATTTAAATTTAGGTTCAAAAGACACAGCCATTCTCGTCTCTATATTATAAGAGTCAATAGACGCCTCTTTAGAAAAATGCCTTTTTTAAAGCAAAAACATGCAGTAATCAAGCATAAAAATTACACGAGAATCAAATTCCAGTATCTAATAAAAGTTTAGTTTCATATATTTTACATGAATAAATTTCCAAAACCTTGCAACTCATGAAGATCAAAATGAAAAGTATATTGTCTTTCCAAACCAAAATAGTCAGATGTGCTGAACTTTTGTTTTATTTGCAATATGCATGACAGACTGGCAGTATGCCTTCAAATCATCACTAAGAAAAAAATAAGTCAGTTTCAAAGTCACTTTGGTACACATTAAATTGGTCTAATAAAAATATTGGAAAGCAAGATGAATTGGCACATCTTTAATATTAACGTTCAATACATACAAAACACTAATAAAATATCCCTGATAAACCAAAGTGCATATAGACATAGTGCACAATGCCCAGATACCTTTATTGCACCATTCTCTATAGCCATCCATATCTTGAAACATCACTAAACATTTGTCTATTTAAAGGTAACAGTCATGAATATATTTATACAGTTAAACACCAATTATTTTACATAACAGTATTCAGTGCCAGGGATGTCTCTTTGCTTTTTCACCTTGTCATGTAAATCATTAACATGTTTCAGGAAATTATTATATTAACAGCAAAATTTAAATATGTGATCACATGATAATGACAAGTTTGAAGTGCTACATTGCTGAAGAGCCAAAGATTTGAAAGTGCCACCTTTCTAAAGGATAGGATCAGTGGAATAAGGTAGCAATTTACTATGTAACTCAAAGACTGTTTAAAAATTGATATGTTTCTACTATTACTTGATGTCACAAATGGTTTTATGCATAGTGAATTCCAAATCTTCAACACAAACACATAAGGTGAAGCAACAATGGCAATTAAATTTTGAGACATTAAATAATGACCTTTTCTTTATGAAATGTACATGGACTGTGCAAATTAACCTTTGATTAAATTTACTTCCTGCCAATATTTTATCATTCAAGTAAAAATGCTATTTATGAAGATTAACTCATGTTCCAGTGTACTGTTTGTATTTAAAGCTGGATCTGGTACTTAATGCCATTACATTTAAACATTAAGGCATTTTTCTAAAATTTATTTATTTTTTTCTATGCAAAAAAAAAAAAAGCAATAAAAATTGAGGTAATTCTGTAGTTGTTCACACTGTTATGTTTGCCAGTTGACACATAGATAGAACATACACACACACAATCATACCCATCAAGTCAAACATGCATATGGTGAAAAAAGACCAATGGATGTAATGATCATAAGTAGTTCAATGTTGAGCAACTTGAGACATCATAGTCAATGAAAATGTCATATTGCTCAACTATGTTTAAAAAACACCACCAACAACAAACCTTTATAGCTTGGACCACTTACATTTAACAAAACATAGGAAAAATATGCAAAACTCTATGCAGAAAAAAAGAACCTTGCAGCTTTTGAAAAGAAAATATTCAAAACAGGTAGGAGTTTGAAGAAAGCGTACAGCACAATAGCAGCATTTAAAATATCAACAGAAACTGAGCTACTTGTAATAATAAGCTCTTCACAAAAACAAACACAGTTAGTAAGTTAGGAATAAAGTTGAGCAGCATGGATAAGTAAGCAATGACACTGCAACAGAAACTGGAATGAATTCTTTCATCCAACAAACTACCCCTGAAAGGAAAACTAGCATGTTATGAGATTCAGAGCCTTTAGATAAAGGAGAACTTTAGCACTACACGGTGTCATCATTGTGATGTGATCACATTCACAATAAGTTCTCAGTTTTGCTATCAAACTGAACATCATGAACCAGTAAGCCTTTTTTCACCATCACCAACCAACAAGCAAACTGACCCCAGCGCCCTTTCAGAGGAGTGCAACATACAACATACTGCAGAGATCCTACTTCACACATCCAACAACTCCAAGACCTCCGCCATCATTGGTGCACGAGCTCCAGAGAAGAAAGACACTGCGCACCAAGGGCCCAGTGCGAAAAAAAGATTCAGCCCAAGATTTAACTTGGTAAAGTCAAGGGAATTTTCCATAGATAGAGAAGAAAAGAGCAAAAGGCAAAGTCCACATTTGATGTGGCATGCATGTAAGGGCAAAGGCAGAGTTATAAATGGGTCTTTTACTTGAAGATATTTTCTGGATGGGATAATCTCCATCTGGTCTCGACAGCCATTGTATCATATAGGTTTTCTTTGATGGATCAGAAACATTTCCTGGAATAGAGGAAAAAATGTAAGCACAAAATGTATTAACATCAGTAGCTTTACTATGTCATAACTGCATCAGATTGAGCTGGCTTGAGTGGAAAAGGTAGCAGTGAGAGAGACTAGAACGTTGCTAGTTTGGTATCTTTTAGAATAACTGAATAGTTGAGGTCTTTTTTTCAATTTGCTATTTAATAATTTTGCTCCCTGGGTTTGGAGCGTAATAGCAAACTTGGAAGGAAGACTGAAAAGTACCAGCTTCCAGTAGCAGTATTAACCATGTACTGCAGTCTAAGGATCATCAGATTTGTGTTTAACAGCTGCACTCTTTAGGATCTTTGGCAGGGTACATGTAAGTGATCCTCTTCTTAATAAGTCAACAGGCTAACTCCAAGGCCGTATTTATACTTAGTAACTTCAGTATACTTCAGTAACTGTTCTCAACAGTTGTACTGATGTTTTGCTAATAAACTGCAAAATGATACAATTTATCATTTTTAAATGATCTCACGGGCAACATTTGCAAATGGCAAAAAACCCAGTGAGGACAGGAACAGGCTCAGTGGACACAAATATATTGTAGCCTTGAAACATCAAACAAGGTAACTCCTAAAGATGACCTGTCTTGATAGAAGTGACAGGAAGAGAGCAACAGCCCTGAGATGTCATTGCTGGAGAGATGGAGCAGGAAGAGGCCCACTTGTGCACAGTACTGCTTTTAATGGGTACTGCCCCACCACTCTCTGGCCAATCCCAACACTTCTCAGAATCATTGGCACTGCGCAGCAGCAGTTCCCATAATTCCACCTCAGGGTTCTCTGGGCTTCTGGCCTGCAATATCATAGCAGCTGGGTTGGCTAGCGTCCCATATCACTGTGAAATAATGAGGCATAGAAAGTATGCTGGCCACACAGACCACTTACAGGTCCACAATCTCATTGACACTCGAAACCGCTGGCACATATTGATGAATACAAGTTAACCTCTTGCATGCATGTGAATTCAGTTAAGGAGGGCTTCACTGTTTAACCATATTTAATTGCAATAATGTTTTCAAAATTAGCAAAGCATGCCAGTCACAAGAACAAAGAGCAGAGTGCTTACTGGGGCATAGAGAGAGTCTGCAGATCCTCATTGTTTCCGGTTTGTCATCTTTACAATAGCCACTAGCATTCTCTCTCGTCCTGCACAAAGCCTGCCGTTCCTGGGTGCCGTTTCCACAAGTTACAGAGCACTGGGGAGAAAATGCACAAATTAGGCCTTGATTCATCTTTTGCACATGATTTATTAGGAATTCTTTTTGTCTTGGACCACAGTCCAGCTATGTATGGTACATAATTTGACCTAATGACGTTATCACATTCATACTACAAGAGCATTCACAGACCCCTGCAACCCTGGTGAGAGCCCACTGTGAAAACACGATCCCTCCCTAGAAGAGCTCAAAGTCCAAGCAGTATATGAATAAGACTACATGAGAGTCATCTAGTCACTGCATCTATCCTGAACTGTATTGCTTACAATTCTTATGAAAGCCACGAAGAAAAAAACCACAATCCTACGGCCCCTGTTGGTCTAAAATCAAATGTTGTTCCTACAGATACAGCTACACTTTGTAAATTGCTTCATGGAGAACCATCATGACAGATAATTTTGATGTATGGTATCTTTTCAATTTGAGTACTTTGACATGTAATGCCACTACATTACACTTGCATCTCTCCTTCCAGCTGATGAGCTCAGAGCACCTTTACAAACACGAATAGATCAAGCCTCGCAACGCTCCTGGGAAGTTGGAAAATCCTTGACACATGGGGAAACTGAGTACAATGAGGGTAAGTGCACACTTACCAAGTTGCACACTATGTTAGTGGAAGAGCCAGGATTAGGAAGCTTAGAACTCCCGACTCCTGGTTCTTTGCTAGAACCATTGGATCAGCTTTGTACCTCACACCTCTGTATGGAAAAAGTAGCACTGGAAGAACTAGCCTGCAATCCCTTTCACTCAATACTTGCATCCTTCCCTCAGAATGGCTTTTCTTTGTCAAAGATGTCCAATGCCCATTTAATTGCAATGCGGCTGGGTGCCTAACTCCCTTAGACACTTCTAAAAAACCCAGCCATGCCCCTAAAGGACTTTAAGGAAAAAAGAAAAAGGCATGACACAAATCTATTGTATTATTTTTCTCTGAGCAGTGTCATTTGGTGAAATAATTGAAGTGACAAACAGAAGAGAAATGCTGAAGGGGCCAATTCCTTTCTTTCTGAAACTGCAACCAAGACCAGAAAGATCTGGCTCATGGGAGCCAAAGCAAACAGCATTACTTCTGACCTAATTGCTAGGTGTTTTACTGCTGTCCATATTGCCATTACCCCCACCTTCTAGGCTGAATTAGCCCTGGTGGATATATTGTGCTCTACACTGGTAAGCAGAAATTTTCCAGTCAGTGCAGTCGCAGGACAGGTCAACTCGCTGCAGACTCCCCCTTCCCTGCTTTGTCAATCATATTTTTCATAATATTTTATAATTATTTATGATCATTATCTACCTGTGACCAGGGTCCTATCCTCCACTGTGCAGGGCAAAGTGCTCGATTGCAAGACCTTTTGCCTTCTGGACGATCATTGTTGCAATATTTGGTATGAACAGAACGATTTGTGTTGTCATGCAGGGGTTGGATACACCGTACAGAACGTACTTGATATCCTGTTTTTCCACAGCTTTTGCTGCAGGGCTCCCAATCTCCTGTAACCCATCTGGTTAATGAAAAACAGGACATGTGAGGTAAAACTCTCTCTCTCTCTCTCATACATTAGTCATGTCAAAAATATTTATTGAACTATAATTCTTAAATTTCAGGATTAGCAGTATGTTGATCTTGATCCCAATCTAGTAAATGAAAGAGGATAAGTAAAAATTACTAAATGTTCTGGGAGGGCTGAATTAGCCACAGCATTGAAGCTGACAGTAAGTGGGCTAAATGCATCCAAGCAGAGTCTTCTGCACTGGAAAAAGAGTGCAATAGGGGTCCTTCGGTCAGTCTGTTTGTGGTAGCACTTATGGCTGTTGTAATTAGGATTGATTTAGTGTGTCTTACCATTCCCAGCAAGCTACCGGCAAGAAGGAATTTAGCCGATCAACTTAATATTTTTAGATCCGGCCCTGCAGCAGTTAATACTGTGACAGGTCTGTGTTGTAAAGGATCTTGAAGAAATATCAGATAAAACTGAACTTTGCATATAGGGGAAGCTAGAAGAATTCTAAATCTCTTGGCTAAATCTTGCCATACACGTCTCAGATAGGTTATAAAAAGAAAAGGGAACACACACACACACGTGCGTGCACACACACACACACACACACACATTTTTGAGAATTTCAGAATTTTTTGCACTGGCATAATACAAAATGAGGTGTTCCAGAACCAAATTTGTTACATGATTAATTCTTTAATAAGGAGAAATCACTGTCTATTCTGAAAAATAGCATTGAAAGACTAATGCTCTGGACTTGCACAATGTGAAATTTCATCCGTTGTAGGGTTATTTTTGGTGTCTAGAGGTTCAGTACCATCATTTTGAATTCAGTGCTCTCTATCATTACAAAACTGTATCCAATTTGTGTTTTTTATCACCATATGTGCAACTGGCAAAAGAGGTGTTTTGTCTTTAATATTAAAGATGTAAGCAGGTTGGGGAGAAATATTTGCATACCCATTTCAAAGCTTGCACCTTTCTACTCCTATTGAGGCCCTCCCTACTCTCATCTCACAATAACTCCCTTTCTTCTCAACTTTTTACTGTGCACAGGATTATTAAATTCTTGTAAGTAGATGGCAGCTCAGCTGTATACTGAGTTCAAAGCATAACAGCCAGAGGCATGAAACCCATTATAATGAAGGTCACATCTCTTCCTACCATACTTCAGTATTGTATCACGTGAGTTCACCTGGAGCAGTTTAGTAATGCTTTCTAACTGTGGCACAATTAGAGATTCTTTATTGCTGAGATGAAGGCGTCAATATTACTTCATTTCATTTATTTTGCTTATAAGCTGGTCCTTTAAGGACTGCATGTAAAAGGACTGAGATCTGCAAAGGAGACTAAAGGAGTTAGATACCCAATTTACATTGATTTCCAATGGCATGTGGGCACCTAACACTTTTAGGCTCCTTTTGAAACCTTTACAATAAATTCTGTTTACCTTCAGAAAGAATAGACCAAATAGGATAGGGCTAGGAAAAGAAAAAGGAAAATGTTATTTTTTTCTCCCATAGTATTATCTCAACGTGAATATTTCCACTTAACTTCTCTTTCTTCGGAATTCTTTAATGAGACTCCTACTTGTTACAGGCCCACGTTTGGTGCATTGTCCAGATACCGATTACGGATTTACTATTTCAAAAGTTAAAAAACAAATAAAACCAACCATCCCTAAGATAAAGTAGTATTAAGTGGTCGTATGCAGTGTTGTAGCCTTGTCAGTACCAGGATATTAGAAAGACAGGGTGGGTGAGGTAATATCTTTTATTGGACCAGCTTCTGTTGGTGAGAGAGAGCTCTGTGTGGTTCAAAAGTTTCTCTCCCTCACCAACAGAAGTTGGTCCACTAAAAGATATTACCTCATCCACCTTTTCTCTCCAGTATTAAAGGGTAACATTTTCAAAAGCGCCTATAAAGCCTAAAATGGCTTAAGCAACTTAGGAAGCTAAGTCCCATTGACTTTCATTCACTGTTATATTGACGTTCAGTCGGACTTCGTACTGGATTTACAAAGCTGTTTAGGAGCCTAAAGATACAGACAAGTACCCAATGGGATTTACAAAACTGCATAAGCAGGTTAGGGGCCTAACTCCCAATGAAAGCCAAAGGGAATTAGGTGCCTTTCAAATTTCACTAGGCACCATTCTGCATCTTTTGGCATCTCCTAAGCAGCTTTGTAAAATCTGGCCTTTAGGATCCTAAGTCAGTCAGATTCTTTTGAAAATTTCACTCAAAATCTACAACAAGTTTCTCAAGTTTAGTGCAATTAGTTATGTGAATCAGAAGTCATAAAGACTTAATTATTGGTATGCGAATGTTTCCAAATATAAGCAATCCCATCTACATGTATAACATAATAATTCCATGTTAGATCCCTGGATACCAATCTTAGCAGACCTGTCTTTTGCAGATACTCTGAACTGAAAAGAACAATTTCTCTGCAGCTTCCCTAACAGTAGCTATGCGTAAACCTCTAATAAGACTACATCTACACTACAGCCGCGATTGACGCTCTGAGATCGATCCACCAGTGGCCGATTTAGCAGGTCTAGTGAAGACCCGCCAATTGACAGCAGATCGCTTTCCAGTCGACCCCTGTACTCGACCCCCCGATGAGAAGAGTAAGGTAAGTCAACAGGAGAGTTTCTCCTGTCGACCCTCCGCGATATAGACCCCGCGGTAACTCGACCTAAGGTACATTGACTCCAGCTATGTTATTCATGTAGCTGGAGTTGCGTAGTGTAGGTCGACTTACAGCAGTAGTGTAGACATAGCCTAAATAATACATGCTGAAACCAACAGGGAGATAAACCACTAAAACAACTGTCGATGGCAGAGGATGGGGTCATAGCTGTAATTCTTACAGATGAGTTTACTTAGAGAGGGTGACAGTTCAACCAACCGCCTAGAAGAACCATGAAAAATATGGACTTATTTGCCAGAAGACTGAAAGCCAGAACTGAGCTGTTTGTCAAGTAATTTTGAAGACTTCAAAGCAATATATCCAGTCGCACTTAGGAGCAACATTAAGGGCTCCTAAATCCCCGCAGTAATATTTTAAAGAACAGAATATTAACCACTAAGCGTCTTGTATTGTTCTGCATTCAGTATTGTACAGAACATGTAGACAGCTTGATTACATTGGGACGTTCATACTGAGACTCTTGTTGGTATACATTCCCTTTTTGATGCAGATGCACACATCCCGTTAGTGCTAACAGAAGTTGCACGCATAACCAAGAGGAGAATAACATGTCACTTAGAAAAGAAAAATATGTGGTCCTTGTTACAAAAGCTGTTTCTCTTTAGAAAACTGTCTCTAGCAGAATCTAAATTAGAGGCGCTGTGGTCAGAACGCCTCAGGTCCCTTTTCTCCTCCCGTGGGGATTGTGTGGGGAGGCAGGGTGAAGCAGTAAGCTACTGAAGGCCACAAAGGAGGCAGAGGAATATCTGGGGAAACTATTAGATCGAGGCAGAAAAGAAGAGGTAAGGAGGGAGCATCAAAAAGCTCAACATCATTTTGGGGACTTCTTTGATCCATCTCTGTTGGATCCAGAGCTTAATCCATTTTTAAATACCATCTCCCCACAGCATTAGATACCAAGAATATTGCAAAGGGGAAGTGCTTTCTCTCTACAGTGGAAGCTGTTGTGGTATATTTGATGCTTAGCCACAGAGCAGATGAAATTTAGTTTTGCTGATGATGTGCAGTGTTGTTGTAGCCATGTTGGTCCCAGGATATTTGCTAATGATGTAATATTTCTAATACAGTTTTCACAGAACTCTGAGCTCATTCTTCCCAGTAGTGAGGTTTCACCTTCTTTCACAATGGCAGAAGACAATATTGCCACCATACCACTGAGTACCATAATGTTCTGTGAAGATCTGATAAGGGTCTCTTGAAATAAATCAATAAATAGTCCTTTAAAAATTCCAATTACAGCCTAGTTGATCTGGGGACATTTAGCTAGAAATAACAATTTCCTTGGTGATGGTCAGAGTGGCTGACTTCAGTTAACTGACTGATGCTAAAATGAGAAGAGCTGTGAGGCCCAGGGAGGACAGAGAAATAATACACAGGGACCAAGAGAGATTAGAAACATGCGAAGAAAGTAAAGTGAAATTCATCTTGGAAAAACACAAGCAAATACAACTGGAGAAAATAACCCCAAACACAAATACCCAGTGAGGGGGGGGGACGGGGACTGGAGAGTAACAGCACTGATCTATCTACAGATGAAACAGAAAAGCAAATTAGACAGCAGATAAAAATTTCAAAAGTACCTCGGGCACCTATGTCCCATTTTGAAGAGTAGCGAAGGTACTTAGAAGTGTAAATGTAATTGAAAGTCAATGTGACTTAGGAGCCGAAGTCCCATTTCCCCCCCAAAATGACTGAGGAGCTTGAGTCACCTTGCAGGGTCTGACAGCCTAGTCTCTAGCCCTAGCCCAGAAGTCTCCCCAGCAATGAAACAGCTGGCATGGCCAGCCACAGGTTTTCCTTTGCTGTGTAGACATACACTTAGGCACATTTGAAAATTTTAACCCATGTTTTGCAATGTGGTATGGCTGAAAACTCCTCCATGACTGCCCCTAGAACACTGATTTACATTCTGGGCACAATTTTGCAAGAACTATAGTGACAAAGTGTAAGGCGTGAGGGACTGGAGGATATTTACAAGGAATACTGAAAGGTGGGCTAAGTGATGACAAAGTGGGTGCACATGATCACAAATATTTAAGGGATGCAAAAACCAAGAAGAGGGGATATTATTTAGTGTGGTACATGCAGGTACAATTGGCATAAACTAAATATAAATATAGAGTGAAAAACGCCCTGAGTTTGAGATGTGCTAGGCAGTAGAAGAGTTCCACAAGGGAGCTGATGGAAATATCATTACTTGGGACATTTAAAGTTTGTACAAAGCACTAGAAAAGGTGGTGTAGGGAATAGTCCTGCATTGACCAGGAGATGGACTGGTGACCTCATACGTCTCTTCTGTTTTTAACCTCTGATTTTATGAAATTACACAGAAGAGGAGTAAGGCAACAATCCTTGGAGCACAAGATCATACATAGGAAGAGGATCTCGGGGATCATTGAGTTGCAATGATCCTCCATTAATTATGAGGGAGCAGCAGCTTACAGTTTTATTCTGTTGGCTTCAGTGCTAAGGAGTCCAATCAAAATCTGCCTCGCCTATGAACGAGAAGGAGGTCAGGCTGGAAAAGACCATCTGAAAGTGGGAAAGGTTGAGAGAAAAATATTCTGTGGGGAAAGGCCTAAAAGTGTTGGTTGAATCCAGGCCCCATTTAGGATTAAAGCCACCTTCTAGGTGAGAATGAAGTTGCCAGTTTAATTAGAGAGGGGCCCAACCAAAACCCTGGATCAGAGATTACGCAAACATTGGGGGTTTAGAACCAAGATCCTGATATTAATTTTGTAGCTGGCTAATAACTCTATAACGGGCTGAGCTAAAAATCCAGATCCAAGCACTCTTAAATTTGGGGTCTTTGAAATCCGTATCTGAATTTTGTGGTTCATGTGCATGTGTAATTTAATTTTACTTTCATTTATAGCTTTACTACCCAGAAAGGAGCTTATAACTGAGTAATAGAAGACTGTAGCTTTACACAGAAAGTTCTAATTGTGGTCATTAAGTCATTGCTGGTAAATAAACTTGTAAAACCATGATCTTTGTTGTGCTGATGGGGCAGAGTTATTTGACTTCTCCTTCTCTGGTGTTTGTCTTTGGAAGGGAGTTTCAAAATATTGGCTGGTATTGTCTAGTTATTCATCACACGCATTGGAATCTAGACTTGGTTGCCAGAGATAAAAGCTGTAGATCAACTTACTCCTTACTTGTTGCGGTAGCAACAGGGGAAATATGTGAGTCCTACATGTGACAGGGTTAACTTGCTGCCAGTCAAAAAAGCACCTGTAAAATGTGAATAAATACATCCGTAATAATTGACTATATACAACAACAAGGAAGCACAAATAATAACCTCTTAAAATGCTGTCCTGGCATATCCATGGAAATCAACATAAATGTTTCAGCAAAAACTTGCATGAGCCAAACCATTCCCGTCCCTGACCTTTGCAGCTTTAAAAATATGTTGCGAGTTTTATTGGTGTTTGTATTAGAAATGTGTGACATTTGTTCTCTTAAATAACACTCTCTATGCTTGCTTTTATATAGTTAAATTCACACTCTGTCAAATCAATTTATATGACTTCACTTCTGGTCCATTGAATATAAGTGTCTGGATCAAGACGGGGGTATTTTTCTGACCCAACCTAACTCAGAATCAGCAGGAACTGTCATTCCCAGAAATAGCGTTTCTGCAAGCAACACTTTAGCAATGACATTGTGTCATTGCATAACACTATCTAGGCAATGATGTAAAATAATGGTGAAGGGCTCCTAATCTAAAATAGCCATGTGTCAGAGCAGGAAGGTATCTGGGGATAGCTGAAAGCACTTCGTTCCAGTTGACCATTAGTATTAACTGGACATGGGCTATGACCAATTCTAAGGGACAGCAAAGCTTACATTGGTTGGGAACATTCCTGCAGATTGCACACTCTGCGAATAGGCTTTGGCTTTTGGATCGTCTCGCAGAATCTCCGATGAACCATCTTGTGGTCTGTCTTCCTCCGGCAGCCATATTTCGTAAACTGATAACCTTAAGAAAGATACTTCTTTTATCTTCAGCATTTACAATACTTACACACAACTCAGATTGTATTTGTCCATAAAGTGGCTAATGGTGTATTTTGAAGGTAGGTGACCATTCTACAGGATTGTAGATTGTACCTGGTTAGCATTTACTTTACTCATTACAAGCAGCTACCTATTTAGCACCCAGAACTACCAGTCCTCTTTGTCTTCTCACAACGAAGCTATAATCACAATAAATAACTGCCTCTTCCGGAACCGTGCAGAGAAGAGCAATAAAAATAATTATGGGTATGGAACAGGTTCCATATGAGAAGAGATTAAAAAGACACGGACTGTTCAGTTTAGAAAAGAGACGACTAAGGGAGGATATAGATAGAGGTCTATAAAACCATGAATGGTGTGGAGAAAGCGAATAGGGAAGTGTTATTTATCCCTTCACATAACACAAGAACTAGGCATCTTCCAATGAAATGAATAGGTAGAAGGTTTAAAACCAACATAAAGAAGTATTTCTTCACACAACACACAGTCAACCTGTGGCACTTACTGCCAAGAGATATTGTGAAGGCCAGAAGTATAACCAGGTTCAATTAGAATTAGATAAGCTCATGGAGGATAGGTCTATAATTATCTATTAGCCAAGATGGTCACGGACTCAATCCCATGCTCTGGGTGTCCCAAAAACCCCAACTGCCAGAATCTGGGACTGGATGACAGGGGATGGATCACTTGCTAAATTGCCCTGTTCTGTTAATTCCCTCTGAAGCATCGGGCACTGGCGACTGTCAGAGACAAGATATTGGGCTAGATGGACCTTTTGTCTGACCCAGTATGACCGTTTTTATGTTCTTAAAGGGGCACCTCTTGGCATTACAAGGGTAAAAGTTTCATCAGTGTCCTCTAAATTTGCACACCTAAAAGTGCAGCCAAACAGCCCAGCAGCTGAAACCACCTATCTCCAGGCAGCGCTGGTCACCAGCATTAATCAGGATCAGGGTCTAGTACTCACTGATCCCTAAACTGGAGGCTAAGATCACTGGACTCAAAGGATTCAGAATTCATCTGCCAATGGGTGTGATTTCTGTTACGTGCTTGAAGTTTTGACATGCTAGTTTTCATCAGCACACAGCCAACTCCTATATAATTGGTACAATATCTCAGTAAGAGACAGGGACAAAGAAACTGTCATACCAGATGTGCCCAAAGGTCCATTTCAGCCAGATATCCTGTTTCTAGGAGCAGTAAGGAATGCTCCCGACAGTTATGGGATAAGCTGCTCAAAGAGGAAGCTTGTTCCTAACCCTGTGCTTGTGTTCAGCTTGTATCCAGAAGCATGGTGGTTAATATTCCTTACACATTTTTTCCAGTCTAATGCAAATATGGATTTTCTTATTCTTTGTCTAGTCCTTTTTTTAAATAAAATCCTGCTAAGCTCTTGGCCTTATTACTATCTTGTGGCAATGAATTCCACAGATTAATTGTGTTGTGTAAAAAATAAAAGGCATTTCCTTTCATCAGTTTTAAATGTGTTCATTTTTTTACCTCCTCCACAGGGCTTTGAACACTGCGACCATTTTTTCAGAGCCCATTCATATGTTACTGAATCATCTTCCAAAACATTGTTGTTATCTACATTTAAGGAGTCTTCATGGATCATGTACTTGTAAGTCAAAGAAACCTTGGCACCGCCATGAGGAATCACCTAGTCAGCAAACCAGACAAAATAAAACCTTTAAAAAGCTTATATCAATTTTACAATGACAATCATGACACAGATATAAAAACATCCCCCAAGAAATTTAAACGTTTTAACCCCATTAGAGCTGTTCTTGCTTTAAGTATCTCTGTATCCTTGGAACACAGGGATTCTTATACTGCACATTTAAATAGGTCGTCACTGCTTTGGATTGATTTTTCTTGCCAGTGTTGCATTGACTTTAAAGCGCCAAATTTTTCCATTTCCTATTCTAAAGGAGAGAAACATTAGGGTACAATGATAATGGTGACTCCGCTAAAAACAAAGCTTAATAAAAATACGAAGATTAACTAAAAAAACAGGTAGAAAGAATTGTAATAACCTCTGCAATAAACACAACCTTTCTTACGATGGTCTTGCAAGTTCTATGAATAATAAACTCATTACCTAACCAAGGAATGGAGTTTCCACATAAAAAATGACAGAGCCAGCTTCCGCTATAGTATTGAAGCCAAAGGGACCGCTATTCCACATGAGTAAAGGTATTGAAATCTGGCCCTTAGAGAATGTAATTTTTATTCTTCCAGCGGGCTAGATTTTCAACTGGTGTAGATCAGCACAACTCCACTCCACTGGCTTCAGTGAGAAACGGTCAATTTACACCAGTGGAGGGTCTGGCCCACAGTATTTACACTGCATTTACTATTTTACGATGTACAGTATAATGAGCAGAGTTTGAAAGATTTGTGAATTAAAATTCTGATATGGACTAAACCACCTGAGACCCCATTAAATGATCCTCTATGTAAAAGGATCCTGTGTCAGATATTTTCAAAAATGGGTGCAGATGTTGTTAAAGGGTAATGTGCATCTGACTATGATGTGCTACACTGATTTTTTTCTTAATGTTCACATCTCAGCTGTGATTAGTAAGTTGGATATCCATTAGTGAGTGATGATTTCTAGGCCATCCACAGGAAATAATTAGGGAGGTCAGATGCTTGACACACAACCCTGGAGTCTCTGTTAAACACATTTCCAGTAAGTGGTAATGAGCGAGTTGGAAAGGGATTAAAATACATCACTTTTATTCTTAAAGCAGATGACTTAATGTGTTTCACAAAAAGGAACCTATAATATACTATAAAACATTATGACTCAGTGTAACCCAGACACTAACTTCCACAGAAGATGGTTTTCAAGCCACTTACCAGAATGACTATACCACTGCGCAAAGGCCCCATGGTCTGCACTGTTTCTCTATCGTCATCATTCCGGTATTCCCATTCTACACCCATGTCAACAAATACTTTAGAATCCGGTACGTAGTTGTCTTCATTTAAAATGAATTTCCCTGTTTCTCGATTCTTAATGGCTAGAAGTAACATAACAAACATGAATACTTGGGGTTTTCATCTCATTTCTAATATTTTTTCAGTAGAAGGCTAGCTGAAAGAGCTCCAAGAATACCAATGTCTGTTCTCTCACTGGTTTGAGAGAGAATTTTTTAGGCATTCTGCTTTACCTCATTTTGTTTTCTCACTCTGACACACAGTCTTCTGTGGATTTTTTTTTTTTGGCCCTGTATCTCTTTGTATTTTGCTCCAGTTACTTTTCCAGGATACACCCCTGTGATCTGAACCCATCCCTTCTCCAGTTAATTTCTGTCCTATCTTCTACTATCAGAGACTGGAGTGGTCTTTGTTTTACTGATATCCCTGTGTACATCTGACTCAAGTGCTCCTCAGCACCTTCAGGCTTTCCCCCACCTCATAATTTAAATAAACCAACAACCACTGGCCAAGATTTTCAGAAGTGGCTAGTGATTTTGGGTGATTCCATTTCAGGGGCTCATTTTGAGACATCTTAATAGGGCTTGATCTTCAGAAAGCACTGTGTACTCATCCTCTGAAAATCAGGCCTCTTTAAGTTGTAACTAGTTGTGCTTCAAAAACTGAAGCATCCCAGGCACCAGGCACTTTGGAAAATTTAGGCCTCTGTCAATTTATGCACCAGCAGTCTGGTTCCCTATATAGACCTTCCCTTCCCAAAATGTTCCATCTGTTAGAACGTGGGTCCTATCTAAGGGAGTCTTTCCTCCATTCCACATTGTTCCCCCCTTGATGAAACCAGCTTCCCCAAGTGGAGGAGCCAGTTCCGAGTTGGGCCTGCTCTACAATATCCCTATATCCTGCTTCTATCAACCATTCGGTCTCTTTTTCCCCTCAAGTCCAGCAAACACAGCCTGAAGCTGCTGCACTTGGATTCAGAGTCATGAGCTGTTTGTGCTGGGTACAGGTAGGGAACATCTGGGCACAAGGAAAGTGGTCATATGTTCTTCAGCCTGGGCAGTAAAATAGGTAACACCGCACATCGGTTTCTCTGTTGCTGGTCTTCTACACCCCCCCCTTTATACTGGGGATGAAGGAAGTGGATTATCTTGGGCCATGGTACTTGGTTGACCTAAGTTTTGTGTTGAAGTTAGAAGATAAAGTGTTTCTTTATTCACTATATACATTTTAATCCACTCCATTCACTAACAGCAGATTGAGCAGCCTGTTCCTCTCAGGAATGACCCTTTTCCCCAATGTCCACACTCTCCTGGGCTCACTCTCTCAGTGCCTCGCTCAGTCCAGGGTCCTGAACTATATTTATATTAGCAGTATGCATAGGCCTGTGAAGAAGCGGCAGATTGAGGGGAATGGGTGGTCATATTAATGCAAGTGGTTTACCCCAAATGAAGAATGAGTCTAGTGCGATTCCTGAATTGGTCACCATTCTGATCTGCCAGGGGGCAACGAATGGCATTTAAAAAAATTATTAAAAAAAAAATTAATGGAGATATCTTATCTCCTAGAACTGGAAGGGACCTTGAAAGGTCATCAAGTCCAGCCCCCTGCCTTCAGTAGCAGGACTAAGTACTGATTTTGCCCCAGATCCCTAAGTGGCCCCCTCAAGGATTAAACTCACAACCCGGGGTTTAGCAGGCCAATGCTCAAACCACTGAGCTATCCCTCCCACCCCAGGCTTAAGGAAGCATTTACTAAAGAGAAGCTTGAATGATTCATAGCAGAATTAGCAAGCCATTCGCTGTGAATCCACTTCCAATTAATAACAACCTATCAGACATTGCTTCTCACTGATCCCATTGCACTGCAAGGAGAGGATTTCAATTACTGTCTAAATTTTGTAATTGATTGGACATCCTAGCATCATTACTATTAACAATGGTGCAGAATTTGAAACAGAGAGAATGACAGTGCTATGCTTTGGAGGCAGCTGGGAAGAAGCTGAATACAGGATGCATATTGTGAACTATACACGTGAAGACAATGCAAATGCTATCACATCCTCTAATGAAATTCATCACCCCATATAGCAGCAGACACACACTGATTCTGGGATCATCCTGCAAAGGTGCTAAGTAATAAAACATGAGGGAATTAGGATCCAATTTTCTAGTAAGTTTCCTAGTTTGTGCATGTAAAGGGAGGAGGGGTCTTACGCGTAGACCAATGCAGAAACACATTACAAGCTTGAGGGGTGGGGGAGAAGCAAACTAAGCCTGTACAGAAAATATATCACAAATGAATACTCACCAAGATTATGAATGGTGGCATCTGTTTCTTGTACAAGCAAGTGTCTTGCACCAGCAGGAATTTCAAACATCTTAATGTACCCTTTATTGCAATATTAAAAAAAACAATAACTGGTCAATATGATAAAAACAGGGCAAGTCTGTTTTACTGTATATGAATGGATTTATTTTACAAAATTCAGGATGTTTTAAAGCAAACTGGGCATAAGCAATTATGCTATTCCTATCCCTCCATCAGGTATCGAGAGAGGAAAGAGACAGTGACCTCTGGGTTAACAAAAACAGCTTGAATGTCATTAGCAAACTGATGCCACTTCAGACCAAAATGGTTCCTTATCTCCCCAAGTGACCACACACAATGTAGAAGAGGAGGACATCCAGGTTCCAGACTGGAAATGACTGGAGATAAGATACTGTCATAGCATTCCATGGAATCAGATTCAATAGATGAGCTACATTAGTATGCAGAGACATCTGCAACACAAATCGGTCTAGAAGTCTCTTGGGGGGGAACCATTAAAACCACTTCCCTGTGCCGAATGTAGCAGGCATAGGCCCTGATCTTAGCATAGGGGGATGACAACCTGGAAAAGCTCTTCACATACTTCCAAACTCCAGACCCATCTCAAAGATAAAGTCCTGACAGTGTCTGCTGGAATAGCTAAGCCTAAAACTATCTGCAATAGGCCTGTGTTTGTCATGGTAGCAAAGAGATCCGGAGTGAACAAACAAGAGAACTCACTGAAATCATTCACCCAGAACAATACATCTTGAATGAACTGACCTGGTTTCTTTGGTGTCCTGGAGAACGTTCCTTTCACCACCTTGCAGTGGGAGTTATCTCCGCCACAGACACCACACTTATCTTCTTGCTTAGAGGAACCTATTACCCTGTCACATCCAACTTTCTGTGAGCAGAGAGGAAAGACAATGCTACTTGTTTATCCAAACTTTAACTCAAATGATCCTTGGATTCAGATATCAAAAATAGGTTTTTAATATTAGCTAAAAAATTATAGTACTTCCCTAGAGTGCACATTGGTAAACATACACATTTCCAGTCATCACAGTAATTGTAGCTTAGGTAAATATATTTTGTGATTCGTTAGGGTCCTAGTTCAGGAAAGAATCACTATTAACTCAGGGGTCTTCAGCCTGAGCTTAATTTTAAACAGCTGCTTAAGTTACACTGGGATTTAAGCACCTGCTTAAAGTTAAACACCTGCAGAAATGGTTTGTTGAATCAGGGCTATAATTCCGTTGCAAACTGTAATTTAAAATACTGATGAATTACAGCAGATCCCAATTTACACAAATTGTTGGTGATTATTGCCAGATCAAATAGATTATTGCCAGTACACATCAGCTACCTCTTAACACCACTTTCTTCAAAAGTTGCTGTATGTTCATATTTCACTATACGTTCCATCGTCATGAAACCGTATGAAGGAAAAGCTTCACTGAAAGCTAACGGTCACGGTTCATCTTAAAAAACACTGCATATACTACTACTTGTGTAGGTAGACGCTGCTGGAATCGATTCCCATGCAAAGTGATGGCAACTGCAAATATGACCACAATACTGTGACAGTAATTGTAATGAAATCTCTCCATTGCCCAAAGCGTTATGGCTCTCACTTAAATATCCATTCTCAGAGAAGAACATTCAAGTGACTATTTTGATAGTTTTTGCATCAGCTAGTCTTGAAAAATGTTAAAAGTGAAGCATCAGGAGTGATGCTACTTACCAAACAATCCCCTCGCACACAGATGCTATAAAAATCTTTATATGAGCAGCGGGTTCCATCATGTACCATTCGTTTCAAATACACTACGTCACCAGTCTCCTTGGACTCACAGTACAGTTGGCACCTTTCTTTAGCTAGAAGACAAAATGCCCCATATTTTAGTGTTAAGCTTGAACAGCTCCTTTGCTCAAGCTATGCATGTCAGTTTGAATGGCAGCAGGATTAGCTATCTGCCTGCATCGTCTTTCATACAGCGTCAAGCACGCTGTCCGCATCCAATAAATGCTAAATTGTTATTATCGTTATTCTACAAAGGCTCAGTTGGAAACTGCTGGATAAAAAAGAACCAATGGATTGTTCTTGGGACTGTATCTTAGGGTTTGTCGACACTGCCAAAAAAGACCCACAGCTGCGAATCTCAGAGCCCAGCTAACCTGACCTCTTTGGCTGGGTTCAGAGCCTGAGCTCCAGCCTGACTGGGAATGTCTCCACGGTGATTTTTAGCCCTGTAGCTCAAGCCCCACGAGCCTAAGGCAGCTGAGGCCTGAGCCTAAAGCAGACCCAGGCTCTGAGACTCACAGCTGTTGGCTTTTTTTTTTCCCCAGTGCTGACATCCCCTTAGTGACTTAGTTGAGTTTACACTGCACACTGAGCCCAGGCTCTTGACTCAGGTCTGAGCCCATGCCCACCTTCTGTCTACACACAAATCAGTCTGACTTGGGTCAGCAAGCACTCAGGACCTGGCTCAGAGGAGTCTGCTGGGGGGGCGGGTCAGAGCCTGAGCCCTCCTGAGACTCGGGTCCAAGCCCTGCCATTTTGCAGTGTGGACAGCACTCAAGCCACAGACGCGAGTCAGGATATCTGTGTAGTGCAGTACAGACGCATTAGCATGGTTCTGGGACCCAGGTCTAGCAATCGTAAGCCGCAGTTTACATTGCAGTGTGGATGCTCAAGCAGTAGTTGGAAACACGGAGTGCACAAGGTCAGGTCCCACAGACCCGAGGTAACAAGGCAGGGTAGACATAGAAGCCATTTTACTTCTTAAGGGGCTGCATTCTGTACTGTGCAATCTGGCCTATGTTTGGGCAGTTCAGAGCCCCAGTATCCAAGGGGTGGAATTCTGTCTCAATGCTCACCCACACTCGCCGTATATAAAACTGAAAAAGCAGATAAGATTTTGCCCTTGAATAGTGACAGTTCAACACTGTATGTGACATTGGCTTCCAAAGACTCTTAGGAGAGTATTGGACTGTTTGCTCCTAAACAAAAACGTAATTCTCTACTACTGCAGTGCTTGGTTTCTTTGTATCCCATTTTCACACACATCTCTTGCTTTGCCCATTGACTAGTCACATATGGTGGGCTCTTATTCCACTGTATGCCGTCCTGTGGGCACACAGTCCAAAAGGCACAAGCCTGCAGGTAGGTGCATGCAGTACAGTAGACAAAGCACCAAATTTCTAAGCCTTCTGAGGTTCAGTTGATTATCATGGGTATAGCTAGCCAAAAACCCTTTCTTTTGTATTCTTGTCCTGGATACCCTCACGAGGGACATACAGAAGCAGCAGCTTGGTGGCCTGATGTTTGCAGATGCTATCATTCTATGCAGTGAGGAGAAGGACAGTCTAAAAGAGGATCTTGATAAATGGAGAAATGTGTTGGAGAGACATGGGGTCAAAATAAGGAGAGGAGAAACAGTATGGTATGCAGTTTCAATAATGTGAACACGGAAGTATTATCCTTGACACTAGATGGGCAGACAATGCCGAAAACACAAACTTTCAAGTATCTGGGCTCCAGAATCTGGGAAAATATGGAAATTGAGGAGGAAATTAGAGTTACAATAATAAATGATCAGGCTCAGATGGAGAGAGATGAGTGGTGTTGTGTGTGTGACAGGAAGATACCAGTAAAATTAAAAGGGAAAGTCTATAAAATGATGGCCCATCCAGTTTTAATGTACGGCACTGAGTGTTAGGCAACAAAGAAGAACCATGAGCAAACGATCTGTTCCACAGAAATGCAACTGGCTGAGTGGTGTAAGCAAGACAGACCCATGTGAAGAATGAATACGTTAGAGGCATGCTCAAAGTAACACCCATAAGTGAGGGTGTGCAGGCTCAGACAGTTTGGTCACATAAGGCGCAGTCCTGACAACTATGTGGGTAAGAGAATCCAATAGAGCAAGACTGAAGGAAAAAGATGGAGAGGCCAACCCAAGAAAAAGTGGTGGGATGTCATAAAGGAAGATGTGTTAGCATGTAGTATGATAAAGGCTATGGCACTGAACAGAGCATTTTAGAGGGAGAGGACTCATAGAGCTGTCCCCATTTGATGGGATTAACACAAGGAACACAACAGCTAGCCAAATGTAGGAGATGGAGACCCTAACTTCAGGCAGATCTGCCAAAGTGACTCTCTAGAGAAAAGACAGGGTAAGATAAAAATGTATGTTGCTCCTAGACTATGAAAAGAGTATATCCACTAAAATATTCAATTTATATGCACTTATCTTCATAAGAGGGTAGTGTATGGGCCTGAATGTATTAGAACTGCACTTTCTATCATACTTTCATGAATTTAAGGCTTGTCTACACACCAAAATTGTATCCCTTTAACTATACTGGTATATAGTTAAATGGCACAGCCCCCCACACGTGGATGCAGTTATACTGGCATCTGTAGCCTTATTTCTGTCCAGGAAGGGGAATAAGATGGTATAATTATTTCAGTAAAATATCACACCCCTAACTAAACAAGATATACTGATATAAAAATGGAGCAGACCAGGTAGTTGTCTGATCTAAAGCCCACTGAAGTCAATGAAAAGAATCCCATTAGCTTCAGTGGGACAGGCTGTAGAAGAATATTTCTTACACACAGGTCTCTGGGCCACACTGTTCTCCCCCTCTCTGTGGAAGAAAATGTACATCTTGAAATGAAGCGATGAAGCTCTCTGCATCTGCTCCTCTTAAAATCCCAGGTTGCACAAGAACGGAAGAAACAAGTAAAGCAATAGTGAAAATTGTTTTGGGGAGCAATTCAGACAAATGAACTACATGGGCATTTTGCCAGCAACTCCTGGTTCCCATCAACTCTCAAGTTGAATGCATTATGATTGACCTTAAGAAGAGCCTTTCTTCTATTGGGATCTGAGAAACCAGATGTGGCCAACTCTATTATCCATTCTTTGCTGGGGCCAAAATTTTAAAACTTGGCTGCCTGTTAGGACTCTTAATCCATACTAAGGAATTGAACTAAATGTCCTGATTTTAAAGATGAACATTGACTGTCGTAAAGTCTGAAATTTGTTTTTTATCTCCCTCATCGTGTTTTCAACACACTAAGGTAACAAACTAATAACCCATTCCTGCTTCCGTATCAACGGTCTGCAACGTCGCTGACAGCACAAGCAGAGGAGCCACGGATTGAACCAGCATGGAAAGTAGAACTGTCTGTTCACCCCAAGAGGGGCTCTCTCCTGCACCAGGTTGATGCACATTGGTAAGTGGACCTGGGGAAGCCTGCAGTGCTAATGACCAGGTGGCACCTCATTGTTAGACAATGAATTTCTGTCTCCAGAGCTATCAGACTGGGACTAAATTTGCTAAGACAACATTAGAACAAGATGGGAATTACTAACCATCGAGATGCTCATATGGGAGCCAGTGGTGTTTTGTATTCTGATATTCAAAGTAAGGATCCCATTGTCTACACTGCTCCTCTCTGAAATCATCAAACTGCTGAGGACAATCTTGAGTGCTGCAAAGCTGGAACTCATAGGTTGGCCCCATGCATGTACGGCCTCCGTTAGCTGGGCTGTGAAGAGGAAAGAAAAATAATGGTTAACGATAGCGTTAATGAGCGAAGCAAGGGTTTTTTGTTTTTACAAATCCCTTAGGGACTGTTTCAATATCCACTGATGTTAATAATGGATATAATGCTTTCAAGACCCCTGTAATGTATTGTACTGTTATAACCAGCTTCATAGATAGGTACACTGAGGTACAGAGAAGATAAATGATCTACCCATGGGCAAAAAGTGGGTCAGTAGCAATTCTGGCAGCATATAATCCAGGAGTTCAGACTCTCAGGCTATGTCTACACTTATGGTGGCGTGCAGTACACACCACAGTGTAACTACACACCACAGTGAAAGGTTCCGGCAGCAGGTAGGCAGCAAGGAAAAGCTCTCCCACTGCTGGAGCCTTTCACTACAAATAGCACAGTAGACGTGGGAGACACTGCTAGGGCATTTTGAGAACTGTGTAGGGTGTACATCCTGGGGGTTCAGGCACGTCAGGTCACCATTTCTACTGTGCGTCACCATTTATACTGCTGTGCATCACCATCTATACTGCTATTTATACCCATGCTAGCTGTGCATGCAGTGTCCGTGCTTTACACGCCTCCGTAAGTGTAGACATAGCCTGAGAGTCCGAACTCCTGGATTATATGCTGCCAGAATTGTTACTGACCCACTTTTTGCCCATGGGTAGATCATTTATCTTCTCTGTACCTCAGTGTACCTATCTATGAAGCTGGTTATAACAGTACAATACATTACAGGGGTCTTGAAAGCGTTATATCCATTATTAACATCAGTGGATATTGAAACAGTCCCTAAGGGATTTGTAAAAACAAAAAACCCTTGCTTC